GCATATAGCAGGTGTAGAGCAGTAAGGCCATAGAGAGAAGTTAAGGATGACTTCCAAATTTCCAGCTGTGCAGTGAGTTAGGGGTGTTGTTCCCTAAGACAGGGAACACTGGAGGAGAAGCAGGTCAGTGGTGAAGGCAACGGGGAGAATTGAGAGTTTAATTATTCTGCAGGTATTTACTTGGTCAACATACATTCATCACATGCCTGCTTCATCCCAGCCTCTGTTTGTACAGACAGAAATGGTTCCTGCACACAAGCCATTCACTTTCTGGTTGGGGGGACAGGCAGAAAAAGATTATTATAATTCAAATATCATGCAGGCCTCATAAGCCTGTGGACTCCAGCAAAGCCACATAAACACTAATCATTCTGGGTTCCTGTTGTTGCCACTGCAAAGTCCCCTTCAAGTATTTTTGGGACACTTCTAGGGACTTTTCACATGTGACTATCAGACTAAGCAGCGAGGCCAAGTCATTGGGCACATCAGCCCTGCTCTGACCCCTTCTGTCCCTGCTCACAGCCCCCACCAAGGGTGCCTCCTGTGGGAATGGAGCAGAGTGAGGCCAGCAAGGAACATGGCCCTGAAAGTGGATGCCTCTTAAAATGTCGCTGGCCCTGACACACTTGAAGCACTGGAGCCGACCTGGGTCCTGAAGGAGAACTTTCTCAAGTCATCTAAGCCGTGAAGCAGCACTGCTTAGTGGCAGCAGTGAGTTCTAATGGGGACATGCTGAGTTGGATGGGTCTCTGTGACACCCAAATGTGGATGTAGCAGGGATGCAACTGGCTATCTGGATCTGGGACTCAGAAATTTGGGTTAGAGATCTAAATTCCAGAACACGGAGGACGGAGAACAGGCACGGGACCAAGCTGAACTGCCAACATTTAAATGCCCTGCCCCAACTCTACCTGGCAACTTTCCCCAAATCCAACTTCCCTAATTTATGTTGGCAGTTGGCCAGTCACTCCTGCCTGTGCACTCCTTCAGCTCTTCGCACAGTTCTCTACGGTAACACTTTTAAAACTACATGGTAACCCTTGGTTTACATATTGGTCTCCTTCACTCAGTAGTGAGATACTTGAGGGCATGGACTCTAATTCAAAGTTGAATCTCATGCTGTTTTCATCTACCACACTGGCAAAGACTAAAACTATAGGAAGAGAGTACCCAGAATTGATGGAGCAGGTGGGAGAGGAGGATGCTGCTTACCCTGCTGCTTGGCACAGTCTTTTTGTGTCATTCCTAGGAATTTATCCCATAGATATATTGATATTAGTGCACAAAGATGTTCTGTATGCCGATACTCATTGCAGTATCATTTGCAATACTGAAAAACTGGGATCACGCTATATACTTCTATTAGAAGGGAACTGTCTAAGAAGTACTTGGAATAATACGCTACCATCAAAAATGAAGTGGGGTTGGTTATAGCTCAGTGGTAGAGTACATGCTTGGCATGCATGAGGTCCTGGGTTCAATCTTCAGTGCTCCATTAAGGAGAAAAAATACAATAAAATAAAATATTTAAAAAATTTTAATGAAGTAGATTTATATATACTGAGAAGAGAAGGTCACTAGAATATTTTATTTAAGAACAAGTCAAAAGCTGTTCATATAGTATGCTATAGTTTGTATATAAAACAAAAAAAAGACTTGCATAGAGATGCATAAAAATGTCTGGAAAGCTACACAATCAGCCCTTGAATAATGCCTTTTAGAGAAGGGTAGTCAAATGAATGGGCAAGGTTTTAAGAGGAATTTTACTTTTCACTTTATGCCTATCTTATGGTTAGATTTTTCTTAAAACTAGAAGCATATTTTTATATTCAAATGCACTATTTATTTAACATTTATAATCTGCTAGGCATTCCTCTAATGGCTTTGTATCAGCACTCTTTGAGCTTTCATAACAGCCCTATGAAGTAGATAGTTGTTTATCTCCATTTTATAGAAGAGGAAATGAAGCACAGAGATGTTAAATAATCAAATCATATATTTTTATAATTTAAAAATCTTAGGAAAAAAGTTAAATGTTGAATTTCAGTCTTCCTTTCTCCTTCCCCACCCTCCACATATTTGGTACCAGGTAGGGGTTTGAGATTGAACAGATGAACTGCATTCTTAGAAGAGAAACTCTCCTGCCCAGAGCTGAAGCCCTCCTTCTCCTGGGACCTGGCTGCAAAGCAGGGGAGGCAGACAGGGCCTGCAGATCCTCCACTGGTGGAGGTCACACAGCCACAGGCACACACACACACAAAATCCTCCCAGCCCCTCTGTTAAGGACTCACATAAAAGTGAAAGTATGCAATAAGGTACTCAATAAACGTGTGTAGTAATAACAATGGCCACTATCACTTATCAAGCACCTACTAATTGCCAGCTTCTGTGTTTCACAAATGCTATCTCTTTATCCTAACAGCCCCGAGGTAGGTATTGCTATGATCCCTACTTTATCAAGGAGGAGAAAGCAGAGGCTAAGTTTTAGTAAAGTGCTCAGTCATCCAGCTGGTAAAAGGAAGAGCCAGCATTGGGACCTAACTCCATGTGAATCACTATGCTCTCAACTGCTCCTGTATCTTACACCATAGTAACTGGATTGAGGGAGTAAATAGGGTAGAAGAAATTTCTCCCTTCCCACTCCAAAACAAAGTCTATCTATAGTCAGTGAAAACAAGAAAGATTAGAGAACGGGCTTTTCAGATACACAGCTAACATGAAGCACCCAAAAATCTTCATAAAAATTGCATAATAATAATTATTACTTCTGCTTATAGACTTTACCATCAGGAGGTTTACACTGGTATTTGTTAATGTTCACAAAAGTTCTTCAAGGTAGATATCATTACTGCCACTTTATAGACGAGGAAACTAAGGCTCTGGTTTTCCTAATGACACACAACGAGGACAAGCTAGCTTTAAATGTATCAGCCTCACTCCAAAGTCTGTCTTTTCACAAGCCCATGCTATTAATACCTTCAGGTGAACCTGGGGCAGCATACTGTGATCAACACAAAATGAAATCCAGACCTCCAGGCTTTCTGGACAAGAATTACTCTTCCCTGACCACAGGGAAGGTCCCCCTTCCCCAAATAGGAGGCTGTTGCTTCATCTACTTGGTAAATACACTGCAGCCTCACAACCCATCACCTCAGAGATTACCTTTTGTATGTCTTACTTGGAAGAAGAGCTCAAGCTTCTCCTTAACCCCACCCTCAGACAAATTAAGTAAAGACTTTGCAACCTCCCAGAAACAATGTTTGATTCTAGTCTAGAACCTCACAGATACTACTACCCAGAGCCTCTCAGACACTTCTTTATCAAAGTTTTATTAGCCTCAGCTCAAGGTACCTCCATCTGGGCATCTCATTACAGAGCAAGGACACTCCAGCCATTTGTAACACCACCATCCAAGCAGGAGTTTCAAGGACAGCAGCAGAAATGAGTCGCAAGGGAGCTATAAATCCTTCTCGCCCTCTTCCCCCTCCTCCGCGCATTTGCTCTCTCAACCCACCCATTTCTTCCCTTACTCCTGTCCCTTAAACGCATCTGTGGCATTCTCATCTCTGCTCATTTATTCACACTTCCCTTTGCCTGGAACTCATTTTCCCCTGGCTGAAATCTATTTCTGCTTTGAACTCCAATCCCACATAATAGTCACTTATCTTTGGGTATGGTCAGATTACATTCATCATTACAGTTACTCAAAAACATTCTTTTTTTGACTTGACTATAAACTACCTGTGTGACCTCAAAGTAAACGACTGCACTAGACACTGGAGATACCTATGTATAATATATATGTGACAATTTGTGGAGCAATTTGTATTTTGGTCTCATTTCTGCCAGTGATTTCTCTTCCCACGCCCAAGAAGGTCGCCAGGCCTTAATATTCCCTAGCTGAAGGCTTCTACGTTTTAGATCTAAAAACCAAGTTTCCAGGCACCTAGAAAACAATTCTAGAAAGGCTTTTGAAAAGCGTGGGTTTATTAGGGGAACTGATCCAGAAAGAAAAGGGATGGGAGCCAGGGCTTGAAGCAAAAATCTGTGGAGGGAAGGAAAGGGTTAGAAAAGGTACCAGGTTTCTGAGAGTTTATAGGAGAGTAGAGACCTAGTCTTCATTTACATATAGCTCCCCACGACGAGGAGAACGCTACGGGAGGCTGTCCACTATATACCTTGGCCTTGAGAGTAGTGATAAAGGTCTGTTTCTTTGAGCAAGTGTGGAATGATTCATTGTGAAGGGCAGGAGGATTTGCACTCACATTAGTAGAAGGAGCCACTCTAGTGATGTAACAATCACAGATTTAGGAGCTGGCCTCTAACCCACTTTTTTGCGTAAGAAACAACGTCTGCAGAAGCATGTAAAGAGTTAAAATGCTTTACGATGACTTCTCTGACCAACAATGGCTAACGTTTTAGAATCTATTACATTGGAAACCGCGGGTACGACTTCTGTATTCCCTGCTTTGGTCTGGAGCCCTTTCCCTCGCTAGATATCAGGTCTCCAATCTGAACCCTCCCTCTTAGTTCAACTCCTCCAATAGCCTTCAGTCTTTCCACTAACCCGTCCTTCCTCAATGTCTCCCCTATTCTTCACCCGTGTTCTCCCCTGCGCCCTCTTTCTCCTCCCTGTTCAGGCAGTCTCTCTCCCTCCCCTCTCCCTGCCCAGACAGCCCCAACTCGCTCTCCTTCTCTTCTCGCGTGCCCCAAGCGGGTCTCCTTTCATTTCCATCCTTCAGTGACCGCCCCCCAACCCTCGGCCTCAAAGCCGTTGGAAGGGGCGTGGCCCCGGGAGTAACAGGTCTCCCGCCCCACACGCCGCGGGCCCGCGCGCAGACAAAGACATTCCACAGCCCCCGCCCCCTCCGCGCACTCGGCCAGAAGGGGGAGGAGACACGTGTCCCGCTAGCGCCGAGTCACGTGGAAAAGAAAACGAACGGAGCCCGCGGCCACCTGCGCACGCGCACAAGGCTTCGGCCTGGCGGGCTCGGAGGGAAAAGGCGATCGGGGAGGCGACTTCTGCGTGCTCCGCGGAGGTGCGCAGGCGCCGTGGCCCGACTGGGGACTTTGTTCTCCGCGGAGAGACCCAAGGGCGGTGCCGGTGGCTAGCTGCGCACGCGCGCCGCCTCATTTCCGGTGCTCTCTTTCGCTGGGTCGCTCGGGTCGGCTTCGGTCGCCGTCGCTCCCGCTCTCCCACCCCCGCCAACCGCCGCTCGGGCCTTTGCCGCTGCCGCGTCGCTTCCTCGATCCCTTCGATCGCACATCCTCCCCAATGCAGCGCCGGGACGACCCCGCCGCACGCATGAGCCGGTCCTCGGGCCGCAGCGGCACCATGGACCCCTCAGGTGCCCACCCCTCAGTGCGTCAGGCACCGTCTCGGCAGCCACCCCTGCCTCACCGGTCCCGGGGTGGCGGAGGGGGGTCCCGGGGGGGCGCCCGGGCCTCTCCCGCCACGCAGCCGCCACCGCTGCTGCCGCCCTCGGCCACGGGTCCCGACGCGACAGTGGGCGGTCCAGCGCCGACCCCGCTGCTGCCTCCCTCAGCAACTGCCTCCGTCAAGATGGAGCCGGAGAACAAGTACCTTCCCGAACTCATGGCTGAGAAGGACTCGCTCGACCCGTCCTTCACTCACGCCATGCAGTTGCTGACGGCAGGTAAGCGGGCCTCTGGGGTCCCTCTGGGTCGCCCGGCCACCCGGGGGCATTGGTGGCAGCGGCTTTGTTCCTCTCGCTTCCCGCCCCCTGGGGACCCAGGCTGTCGTGGATGCCTTTCTCTCTTCCTCATCTTTAGGATCCTGGATTCAACGTTCCCTTCTCGGCCCAGGGTGCGAGGGAGAATTTCTAGGCTGCAGTGGAGGCCCGAAGGGGACTTGACGATCTCTTTGCGCAAAGATCTTGATGGATAGTGCCGCGCTCCCCGCCCCCTTGCCGACCCTTCCCCCTCCCACCTCTTGCAGCTGCCCCGCGCTTCGAGTGCTCAGATTCTTACAGAAATGAAGCTTTATCTTCCCCTTTCCCCAAAGGGAAAGCTTTTTTGATCGCAGGTGGCGGTCGGCGCCTCAACTGAGGGTGTAGGAGGTGAAGACAGCCTGAGCCGGGAGGGATCGTGGGAGAGAGGGCCGAGGTGAGATGGGGTGAGGCTGGAGTGCCCCGTCCACAGCGCCGCGGCCGCCGGGGCCGAGTTGGACTTAGCGGTAACGGAGCTTAAGTTGCTCGGAGGCAGGAGCAACCTGTGGGAATCGGAGCTTGAGGTTTTCCGAATCAGATTTCCGACTTCAGCCGATAAAATGGTCGTTGCTACAGAGCCGGACGGCTAGACCCTTTTATTTTACATCGTGCGCCTGTCATTCAAGAAGAGGGGAAATAACCCTAGAGACAGTGAAAGGGGATGATAGAGGCAAGTGAAGGATGGTTTGCGTCACATTTCTAGTATGATGGGAAAAAAACTGAGAGAAGTTGCATGATGCTTGTGTCTGAAAGGTTTGGTCTCCCCCCCTCCCTTTTTTTTTTTTTTTTGTTTTGCTTTAGTAGTGAAATAGGTTAGGAATAAGTTGTCTTTGTCCTGTCTTTAGACTAGCGCTCCTTTCCTGCTTAGCACTGGCTATCACCTAGTCGCTCTGATTTCTCCCTAAAGCCGTCTGTTTTGCTCTCTTCTAGTTAAAACGTTTTAATAAGTGTATCTTATGATACCTAAATTTCATCTAGCAAATAAAAATTCACGTTCAACACCGAATGAGTAGTTAGACTCTTTGGCAAGTTCCATATAATGGACAGATCCGTTATGAAAATGTCGTTTCCCTTTCTTTGTTCTCTATCTCCCACCATTGGTAAGAGGACTTTACTTTTAAACACAATAAACAAAGCCCGCGGTGGTCAAGAGTAAGAACATTTAGATAAACTACTTATATTTTCAACTCAGTGCTTTGCTGTTCTGTAACACAGTCAGATTGTTTGAAACGTTACTGTTCATCGTGTTCTTCTGGCAAGCTCTTTGAGGACAAGGAATGCTATTTAACCTTTATGTTTTTCATATTCTCTTGCATGTAGCAAACACGAGGTGTTTGAATCTGAAAGCAAGTACATGCAGATTCAGTAATGCCAGACTAAATGCTAAATAAAGGCTGAATGGGTCTTATTTTTATTTCCTCACATCTTTAATCAGTCCAGATTAAATGTGCGGGAATAAAATAACAAATTTGAGAACTTTAAGGTGTTGGCTTGGGTTTTAAATTCTAACTCTTGACTAGTTACCTGCACTTGGGAAACTTTCTAAACCTCAGTAACTTCATCTGTAAAGTGAGATGGTGAGTGGTGAGGATTAAATGTTGTGTAAAAAGCAATAGAACGGTTCCTTTTGACCTATAATCATTAGATAATAACTTGTCACCAGTTTTCTTCTAGTTGTAAATCTGTGGTACTGGGTAAGGTATGAGAATTCAAGGTTTTTTTTGCCTTCCTGAGCACATCAAGTGTCCAGTGTGGTACTCATCTTTTAAAGTAAAAGATCGCTTCTCAGTATGGCCATCAAAAACTATTGATCCTTAAAAGTTACTTACAATTTTTATCCATCTCTCACTGCTTAACTTCTGTTGCAAGAAAGTGCTCTTTCATTTTTGAATTTGAGTTTTTAAATTTTTTTTCTTTAACCAAATTGAATTTTAATTGGAGAAATAGGATTGAGGTAATGCTGGCTCATTGAGAGAACTGACGTAGGATGTATGAATACTCAGCATGGGTAAGTCTCAATATATGTTGGACCTGGCTTTTGAGGTACTTTTGAATGATCTGGAAAAGGGATTGTAGTAAAGTCAACTAGCTGTGAGGAAGTGAGACTGAGAGGACAATAGTAGTATTTGAGTTCTGATAAGGATTATGTAAGATAAGTATAGCTAACACTATGGTAGATGCTGGATACTGGTCTCAGCACTTTACATCAAATATTTAGCCTTCACGACAATACTGTGAGGAAGTTACTCTTATTATCTTCACTTTTATGTATGAAGAAACCGAGGCACACAGAGATTAATTTGCTTAAGGTAACAAAATTAGTAAACAGCGTAACTAGGATTTGGAGTTAGTCTGAGTTTGGATCCTCACACCTAACCCTTTTTGCCCTCCACCCCCAACCTCCCTCTATAGTACCTGCAACAAATAGTACTTTAACCTTAAAGTATTTTGTGCTAAAATATTGGAAGAAAATCTCTTTGAACATATAAAAATGCTAGCTGACAGTGCAGTTAAGATGACAAGGCAGGCACAGAAGGAGGAAACCCAGAGAGCAGAGCCTAGCATTCGGGACTGCAACTCCTTCAGGCACCTCTGCCCACTTCCCAAGAGGTGCTGCAAGACCCAGACCACTCTTCCTTTACCGGCCACACAGCCCTCCCTGTCCTTTTCCCAGCTTTACTTTATTTTGCACTTATCTGCATCTGATGTACCATATGTTGTAGTTATGTGTTTGTTTGTTGGCTGCCCCTTATTTATGGCTAGAATGTCAGCTCCACCAGAGCAGGGATCTTTTGTCTGCCTTGTTCCCTGCTGTATCTTCTGTTCCTTGAAGAGTGCGGCAGAGTGGCCTCTTAATAAATATTTGATGAATGAATATTCATCTTCATTGCATGATGGAAAAATATCAACACAATTCTGAGGGATTTTGATTTTGAATATAGTCATCTTTTTTTGTTTGTTTTTTTTGAATATAGGCTATATTAGCCAAATTGGTATTCAACCATGATGACAATTAAATATGTTTGCAGACATACAAGGATCGGGGTACCCATGCTTGTTTTCTAAAACAAAAATGATTTATTACTTATGTTAAATAAACATAGTGTTTTTATGTATATGTGTTTTTTTCTACTCTTTGCAACTGGGGAAATAATTAATTAATATAAGTGACACAGGAATAAGGAAACATTTTGAATAGATTAACAATCCTCAGATAATCTTGAAAGGATACTGAGAAATTCCCACAAGCACTCAGTGGAGAATATTTACAAACAATCTATTGAAACTTCAAAATAGTTAATTATTTTATTTACAACATACTATAGAAATACATCTGGATATTCCCATTTCGTTCTACAGGGCTAGCTAAACCTATTAAAAGCAGAAAGTGGAGTTGCTGAAGAACTATAGACCAAATATGGTCAGCCCTCCATATCCACAGGTTCTCTATATCTGTGGATTCAGCTAATGGCAAATCAAAAATATTTGGGGTGGGGGGATTCCAGAAATTTCCAAAAAGCAGAACTTGAATTAGCCTTGCACTGGCAACTATTTACATAGCATTTACATAGTATTAGCTACTATAAGTAATCCAGAGATGATTTAAAGTATACAGGAGGGTGTGCATAGGTTGTATGCAAGTGCTGTGTCATTTTATATATGGATATACTCAAAGATATTTGAGTATCCTTGGATTTTGCTATGGGGGGGATGGTCCTGGGACCAATCTTCCCTCGGGTACCGAGGGATAACTGTATAGGTATGAGTATAAATATTAGGAAAGAAAGGCAAAATTTATCATCATTTGCAACAGTGTCATTTGTTTACCTAGGAAAGTAGTGCATGGTGTGGATAATTATAGGGGAAAGATGTATAAATTAGTAGATTTCTAATAGAGGAGCAGTAGCCAATTAGAAAAGAATTGACAAAATGATCTCATTTTTAGAGTATCAGAAGCTTTGGGATAGGCAATGAAATCAGTTCAAAATGTATGTGAATTAAAACACTAAAAAGGTGAGGGAGGGTATAGCTCAAGTGGTAAAGCTGATGCTTAGCATACATGAGGTCCTAGATTCAATCTCCAGTACTGCCTCAGTCAATCAATCAATCAGTAACGTTCCCCCACACAAAAAAAATTCCTTAAAAATGTATATGAGTAATCATAGCAAACAATGTAGAGCATATAACTTTTGCAGAGAATATAATGTGTGCCATGAGGTGTGCTACTCATTAATTCCATCTTGTGGCAATTCTATAAAGCAGGAAAAATTTTTATCTCTATTACAGATGAGGAAGATTGTGATCACATACTGTCAACCTAAAATTTTACTAGAGGTGATAAAGGAAGATCTGAACAAAAAGAAAAAAATACCATGGTCTGGTGGGGGGATGAACTAGTCTTCTAAAGATGACAACTTTTAAATTAGGATGTTGGTTTTTTGCATTTTCCAAACTAATTCCAACTAGATTTATTTTTTTCAACTTGACAGGTTGAATAAAAAAGTAGCTAGGAGAGTAAATGAAGGTAAATGAGAAAAAAAAATTTTGGAGACAGGATAATAATGAAAACCTGCTACATTGACAAAGATGGAGTCAAGACACTGCTTGGGATATGAATTAAAAGGAACTCTTAAAAAGTGCTGGTATAATTGTGAATTGGTACAACTACTTTGGATAACAGTTTAGCATTTCATCTGAAGGCTGAACATACAGATTCCTTAAAATTCAACAAGGAATATACCCAAAGAAACTTTTGCACATGAGTGCCTCACTCATAAAATGGCACACTTTGTTCACAAAATGATGCAGCTTTTTTCATCATTTTTGGATACTGTGAGATTTTCAAAAGGAAAGATTTATACAGCAGTGAAAATGAAAACTACAGCTACATGCCACAACATGGCGAAATCTTGGAAATCTAATGTTAC